CCCCAAAACCCCAAAACCCCGACTCCACAGAATATGAATTTAATTATGAAATTATAAATTTGGTTGATAGAATTACATTTAATCTATAAATCACCAAGGACAAAAATATGAGATTAACAGTGCAAAACATGAATTAAGAAGATCAAATCTTCTAAATAGAGATTGAAGATGATGGAACAATTGAGGATATAAAGATTCTTATCTCAGTTGAAACTAATCTAGCAGTAGAGGAATAGTTTTTAATTTTCAATGGAAAGATTGCAGCAAATGATCAGATGAAGGCTAAGCAATTCGGTTTAAACAATGATGATATGGTAATGATTACTTCTCAATAAGCTTTAATGGGAGCTGGAATGGGTATGGGCATGGGAGCTCCAAATATGTTTGGAAGACCTCCACAATAGCAAATGAGATAATAGCAACAGCCAGCAACTTAAGCAAATCCAAATATAGCTCCAAATGATGCTAATTTGTTAAGCAATTTCTTTCAAGATCTCAGCAAACCAGTTAGAACTCAGAGAAATCCTTTTAATGCTATGAATGCACAATTAGACATGGTTATCAGACAGAAAGCTCTTTAAACTAAAGAATACTATCTGAATAATCAGACTTAGCTGAACTACATTTTACATTAGGATCCAGAATTAGCTGGAGCAATAGTTTCTGAGGATGATGAAAAGTTATACCAAATTATTAAGTAGAGATACTAGGACTAGATGGAGAGAAAGAAAAAAGAAGCTGAGAGGATTCACAGACTGAATAATGCAGATGTGCTTGACATTGAGGCTTAGAAATAGATTGAAGAGGAAATCAGACAGCAAATGGTCAATGAAAACTATGCGATGGCTTAAGAGAACTATCCAGAGTTCTTTGGGCAAATCACTATGCTCTACATTAAATGCAAAGTGAATGGCCACGAAATCCAAGCATTTGTAGACAGCGGAGCTCAATCCACTATTATTTCTAGACCACTTGCTGAAAAGCTAGGCTTGATGAAGCTTATTGATACAAGATTTGCAGGCACAGCTATTGGTATCGGCACTCAAAAGATATTAGGAAGAGTTCATGCTGCTAATATGGAGATCTAAGGTAAAGAGTTTGTCTGCTCCCTCGTAATCCTTGAAGGCAACAAAGTCGACTTTTTATTTGGTCTAGACAATTTAAAAAGACATTTGTGCAATATTGACTTAGTCCAGAATATGCTGCACATGAGAAACGGAGAGATATCAGTGCCTTTCTTATCCGAAGGAGAGATTGAGAAGAATGATATGGAAGAGGAGAAGTAGGCTCTGCTTGAAAAGTAGAAATCTATGGGCTCGAAGTTCAATGAAAACGATGTCAAAGAATTGATGGAAGTGAGCGGAATGAGTAAAGCTTAAGTTGAAGAAGCCCTAGTAATCAATGATGGCAATAAGGAGCATGCAGGAACTTATCTGATGAATCAGAGTATGGCCAGGAGAAGTCCTAAGCGTTAATGAAGACTTAGACTATACAGAAGATTGATTATGTATACGAATATTAATGCATTTTAATAAAATTAATATCATTCTGTTTTTTAATAATCAAAATCTAATATTTGAATAGAATTTAAAAGAAACTTTTTAATTTGCAAAAATATTATTCTCTTTTAAAAAGAAAATTATTAATTTATTTAATGGAAAACAACAACACTTCTAAGATTAATCTAACTAAGAGATTCGCATCACCCAGCTCTTTTAATAAGCAAGAAATCTCCATGCTTCAGGAGCCTCACTTGATTCGCAAAAAGGGAGAGAAGGTTGAACAAGCTCTTTATAGAGATCATCTATAGAGAGCTGCGAGGCACAAGCTTATCACTGAAACAGTAAGATAATCATTCTAATGAAGCAATTCTTTCTTATTCTTTAAATATAGAATGCATAGGTCCAAAAGTAACAGTAAAACACAGTAAAGCTCACAATAAAAACTCAGCAATTAGCTATTTAAAAACTAGATAAAGACCTAGACGCTCTGGTAAAGTACTTCTCACATTAGAGTGCCAATGATAAAACTGAGCGAAGTGTGTGTAGAGATGAAATTATTCAATTATTCAGAATGATCGAATGCTTTAAAGAACTCGATACCCAAGACCCTCACAACATTAGCAAAGATAATAGCATGATGGTAGGCAAGAATTCTTTCATCAGCAATCGGGATCTTAATAGGTCTATTAGTCCAAATATAAAGAAGGATGCTTTCAGACAGAGTCAGAGACTGAAGTCGGAGCAGGAGTTCTTAGGAAACTTGTGGAACTTTATTTTAAGTCCAAATAACCCAGTTGAAGCTTAATTTGATATGGTGATTGAAGCTTTTAAGATCCTCTTCAATCATTATCTACCTGTGCCTAAGTAGGTTGACTTGCTCGTGGATTTGTAAAAGATTGTGAATTTCGGGAACAATAGGAAAATACTAGATGAGGAGTAGATTGAAGAAAAGATAGTCAAGAAGTTTCAATAGCTCTACAACCATTACTATAATTTGAACAATATATCAAAGGTGTCTAATTAAGAGAAAGTCATTAATAACTTCAAAGATCACTACAAGGACTTCACATTCAAGCCAAAGATTAATCCCGAAAGCACCAATATGGACTACCATAATATCAGCTAAGTCTATGCTAAGTTATAAAAAGAATAGAAGAATAGAGACAGATCATCTATCCTAAGGTAATCAATGTAAAAGTCAGGTCAACCAGATGTAGAAGTTGCTGAGCCTACAATGACTGATAGCGATGATGACGCATCCTAAAACCTTAACGAGAATAACCTTCATAAATTCAACAATATGCTTAGTAAGTATCTCTAAGAGTATAAAACATCAGAAATAGTAAATAAAGCAGTTGGAAATAGATAGTCAAGTCATAATAAGAACATATCTCAGTAATCTGCACTTACTAACAATGAAAGTGTCAAAACTGTTTTAGTTCACAAGCATTCCAATGATTTAGCAAGATCAAAAACTCCTAAAATTAATGAAAAAGGACCTAAGCCGTAGAAACCACCTATCCCTCACAAATAGAACTCAAATATTTCAGTTAATAGCAACTCATAAATAACTGAAAGCAATAAGAGTCCAGATAAGGTATTTAGATTTGAATATTGGTATCTTTAGGAAAAGCTCAAGTAAGACAAACTGAAGAAGCAGATAGAGGATAAAATGAAAAAGGATGTCTAGGGATGCACATTCAAACCATAGATCAATAAAAGCGTAAATACTAGCTACTCTAGATCCCCTGTGAATAGCTAAAAAGAATCAAAGTTAAATTAAGAGGTCATAAAGAATTATTATGCTACACCTACGACCTAATCTCATAGAAAGTTTGAGGATTTGTATAAAAATGAAAAAGTTAAGAAGTAGATGAGAGACGATATAGCAAAAAAGAAGAAGGAGGAAAGAGAATAAAAATAACTATCTGAATGTACATTTAAGCCTAGACTGGTGAGCAAGAGTCCTTTGCAAGAGGCTAATAAAAGAGAGCACAATAAATCTCCTGCACCCACTGGCTATGAAGATACTATTAATCGCATGAGAATGGCTAATTAGGAAAAAATTAGATAGAAAGAACTTATGGATAAGTAATTTTTATAACACTTAATGATTTTTATAGCCTTGGAAAGCCAAAGCGTGAAAATATTGAAAGGAGTGTCACACCAACTAAGCAGACACCATTTAACTTGAGCTATCAATAAAAATTAGATAGGAATGCTGGTAGGAAGCAGGATAAGCCAGAATAAGATGTGTTGCTTTATATGGAAATTTTAGTTAAACAGGGTTAAAAAGTTAAGCTCAAGGTTAAGAGAGACGATTCACCAAGAAGTGTAGCTTCAAATTTTTCAAAGATTTATGGACTCAATTAAAAAAGTGAGGACGCTCTTAGTTAGATTATCATCGAACAAATTAAGAAAGAGAAGCTTCAAGTCTCAAGTATTAAAACCACCTCTGAGAGAAGCAACAATGTCCCAACTACCATCAGGGAAGGATTATCTTTAGTTGAGGACGACTCTTTTGATAGTAAGTCTTATCAACAACTCAATAATTTGTCTGGAATAAAGCATTAGCAAAGTAATTTCGACCAATCTCTGGGGATGATTGATGAGAAACAAGAAAATGGTTACGATGATGATGACAACTTCGACGAAATAAAAGAAGAATAGGCTGAGCAGGAGAGTAGCAAACATTATGAACCAGTGGAGGTTAGAAATGACATCACAAATCAGTCATTGTTACATCAAAATAATCATTAAGATTAGTATGAAGACGATGAAGATGATGCAAAGGATGAAATAAGTGATGATAGCGATGATACATAAAACGCATCTAAACAGTTAATTACTATCTGAAGAAATAGCACATCATTAAGATAATTTTATGGCATAAATACTCTTAATAATTATTACACTGATACTTAGATTAGAATTAAGATTGAATTTACTGAAATTAGTTATAACTTTTATCGCTTAATCTGTCATAAAGTGGGGTTTTGGGGTTTTGGGGAGATCGGAAGAGCGTCGTGTAGG